AATACCTGTTGGGATGACTGCTTAGCCATCTGGAAAAACATAAATCTAGACACCAGCCTCACTCCATATATCAACATAAATCCCAACTGTATTTTTTTTTAAAGTAAACTTTTTTTTTTAATGAAACCATAAAAATGGCTAGGAGAAATTAATCTTGGATGGGGAAGGCCTTTCAACCCATGGTGCAAAAGCCAGAAAGTATAAAAGAAAAATAGCAATACATAGATTTGTCTATGTAAAAATGCAAAATATTTATAGAACATAAGAAAGCTAAAATAAATTACCAACTGGGGGAGATGTTTGCTTGTATATTATATGTTAAGCCCCTACAAAGAAAGATCTTGGATGTGTTAAAAATGAATAAGGACAATTTAGGGCATAAAAACATTTTATTTAGCCCTTCATGAAGGGGACAGTCTCCATTCAGAGAACAGAAAATGGAGCAGAAGGCAGGAAGCTTTTATAGGATAAAGAATAAAGAACAAGGAAGAGACAAATAGAAAAATACCTGGTTGTCTGGGGTCACACAGTCAACCTTGTTTGGGGTGAGAAGAAACAAGGAAATTAGTATAGAACCCAGAGTTGGCTTGGCATCTGGTGATTGGCTGACTGGATGTGCAACATTTCCGGTCAAGCAGAACATTTATAGGAACACAAAGTTATCTAAGTTTCAGTTTGCTGACCTGGCACCCTGAGCAGGAACAGCTCCATCTTGGGCCTAGAAAGGTATTTCAACAGAAGGAAGAAAGGCAGGTGAAAGCAGTGTACAAAAGGGTTAATTCCAATAACTGATCAATTTGTAGAAAGGTGTTCCCTCAGCCCCACTAGTAAACAAAGGGAGACACTTCACCTATTGAAGATGTTTGAAGATCAATAGTGGTTTGTTTGGGCAAGGACATGGGAAAACATAGATTTTTGTGCACCATTAATGACTGTGAATTGGAATAACTTCTGGAGAACAGTATAACAAAATATGTCAACATTTTAAATGTACTTACTCTTTGAAACTCGTTTATTCTAGGATCTATTCCTATGGAAATACTTGCACATCTGTGCAAAGATCCATGTATGATATCGACTAGGAAGTTGTCTGGATGCAATAATTACCTCCAAACACACTCTATCGGGCGGGTTATCCCAGATGTCTTAGACAGAAAACCATATGTCCTGAATTAAGATGCTCAAATCACTTGTTTATTGAATCACTTTTAAATAGAAGTCGATTGGAAAGTATAGCGAAGGTTAAGACATTTAAGATGGGGTGTCAGGGAAGTGAGAGGCCCACTTACCTGAATATTGTGTTACACAATGTTACATCCGTTCTGCTGCACCAGCCATCACCTCTGATGGAGTGGTTACGAGAACCACAGCTGAAATTGAAAGGGGGGCTGAGCAGATGGAGGATGCGTGGAATCAGTACATGCTTGCTCTGTAGGAAATGCACAGGCGCAAGTATGCCTGGTTAGCCACCTGCTGAGAACCACGTTTTCTATCTGTTTCTGGGGCAGAAGATACATGGGGCCAGAATGGGTGTCCACAATGAATGGCATTTTAGGGATGGTGTAGCTGTCAGCCTGAAGGTGGCATCATTTGTGCCTTACCATTTATTCTTTCCCTCTTCTTCTGTTAGTAACACTCTTGTTTCTTCCATCCTTCTTACATAAATTCCATTCTATCTTTAGCATGTCTTACAGTATACTATCTGTACTTGACACATCTTAAGAATTCTTTCTCGTGTGTTTCATGTATCTTTGTTTTTCCTATTCTTTAAAACAGTGGAATATTCTCATAATACAGCTAACTATAAACATATATTAAAATGTGCTTAAAATATAAAAAAAGAATTCTTCCACAGAGGATAGGCCAAGTATGATTGTTGTATATAATGGAGTACTGGCTGTTAAAAATAGGAATGACCTTTATCGGCAAAAGAAATAAAAATGTCCATTTTTATTGAATGAATAGCTTTCAAAAACATTTACAGCACCCTATGTGTTAAAATACATATATGTATATAACATTTTCTAGGTTGTACAGAGAAGTGTCTGGACAGATCTCAAAATATTAACAGTAATTTTCTTTGTGGGATTTGGGGTGATTTTTGCTTTCTCATACTTATTTTCTGTATTATTACAGGTGAGATGGGAGAGGTACTACAAAAAGCTTACATTTTTATAATCTAAAGAAAAAGCAAATGAGTTATGGTTTTTAAAAGTGTCCTGTGGCCAGCATTTTGCTCTGGGAAGAATAGCCTTACAAGTCATATAGACCCAGATCCATTTACTAGCTGCATAAAACTGGTTTCGTAGCCTCCTTTAGCTTTGATTTTCTAACCTGTACGATGAGATAATGAACACCTTAGTGGAGGTGAGAACATTCACAAAGGGCACAGAGCCCAATGCCAAGATTACCTTAGTGAGCTAGTAAATGTTCTTCCACCCCCGCACTTGACAGAATGCTGAATCCTCTTCTGCCCCTCTATTTCATTCCTGATAGTGTGAAAGGACCTACTAATCGCAGTGCTAGAAAATCCCAGGAGCTGCAGAAGACCCTTTCCAAGACAGGTCAGCTTGTGGTACCAAGATTACAGTAGCTGCAGTCCAGTAAAGCTGGTAAGGGAATCTGTTTTTCCCACTGTCTTCCATTATAAAGCTGAAAGTATAATACAGTATTTTCTACTGGAAAATACTTTGGCCCCTGGATCTAATGACATTGTATTTAAATGAGTAAACCTTGGGGTTAGAGTGCAGAATTACTAAACTTTAGGTTGCATAGGATCATCTAGGACAGAGGTTCTCAGTCCTGTTTAGACCCAGCATCACCTTTTTTATAATATTCATGTGGCTATCTTGAAATTCACAGATAATTTTTTAAATTATTACACACGCACTTAAAATCAGTATAATTTCTTGACAGTAACATGAAGAAATAAAAGGAAAGTAATTATAATCATGCATTTCAATATAGAAATGCTCTGGGATGATTAACTTTATGACATTGTACCACTCAGATGTTTGCACATATAGGTAGACTCATCATGTATCTGGCCGTTGTAATACAAATGTATTGGATTAGCAACCAAATACCGTGAACCACATGGCCACTGATGATATCTTCCAAAATGGCAAACAGCATTTGGTCAAGTTCTGGACCAAAAAGGCTAATTTCCCTCTAGTTTATACACTGGTTGATTTCCTGTAAAATTCAGTATGCAAAAATACTCTAAATATGAAATTTGGGCTTCATTAAGTAGAGAACTTATGTAAAATATTGATTCCAGAACACCCAACTCCAGAGAGTTTTGACTCAGAGAGTCTAGGATGGGACCCAGAATCCATATCAACCTCCCAGCAGTGATTGATTCAAGCATTCTGTTTTCTTTCTTTATTTTTAAAAATATTTTTTTTATTTATTTTTAGGGAGCAGGGAGGGAGGGAGATAGAGAGGGAGAGAGACACCAATCCATTTCTTGCATTCCCCCACCTGGCCGGCGGGGGACCTGGCCCACAACCCAGGCATGTATGTGCCCTGACTAGGAATGGAATTTGCAGAGCGATGCCAACTCCACTGAGTCACACCATTCAGGGCCAGGCATTCTGTTTTCTAAATCAGTTAGGGGATGGGGGGTGTTGTTCTAGTGGGTGGTTGTTCTAGAGAGGGAACCTAAAATGAAAAACTAGGAACCAAAAGCTCAGATTGGTCATTCCTATGTAGTGTAAAGTACTGAGATGAAAATTGGAATTTAGAATATCAGTTTGAGACAGAAGTCTGCTACTTGTAATTGCCCAACTTCGTACAAATTTTTTGTGTCTATTTCCTCATCTATAAAAATGGTTATTGTTACCTGCAGGGTGGAGGGTGGAGGGATGGGACTGTGGTTTCTGAGACTCTTTGAAGCTTGCTTGCTTTATTTGTCAAGATTATTAAAGCTCGATGATGCTAATTCCGACTTTCCGAAAATCTGGATAGGGTGCTGTAACTTTCCTAAAAGCCCACTGCAACCAGAGAAAGCAAGCCATAAATAAATAAATAAATAAATAAATAAATAAATAAATAAATAAATAAATAGGCCCGCTCACCTCCCCACTCACCAAACAAATTCACAGACACAGACTGAGTCCAGGAGTATGGGCAAGGACGAGTAAAATCACTTTCACTGGGCTTGGTTTACTTAGACTTTGAGCTCCGTCTGCTACTCAATTCCTCCTCAGTTCCTCCTCCTTTCCCACACCTGCCACCATACTACCTACCTATTTTCTTGGCGCTCCTCCCCCTTCCCGCACTGTGTGTTCTCGTCCCCGGTTTCAGTCACCAGCTCCTCGGCCGCCCCTTTTGGCTTTTTCCTTTGTTTGGTGATCCCGGGCAATCCTCCCGCAACGTCTGGGCTCCTCTCCAAGATGGGGGAAGTGGGGACTCCCTTTTGCAACCCCTACGGGGCCCACACTGTGCGCCCTGGTCCCCCTCACCTCCTCTCGTCCCCAACACTCGCTGTCACCTCCCGGCCCCTCTCTCGGCATCTCGCCCCCTCCCCCCAACCTCGGCTCTCAAACAGTGGGTCCAAGGCTCCTGAGCTGAGGAAGCTGGTGAAGGTGCTGGGTTCCCGTCCCTGCGTTCACCCTGAAGCATATCCCAGGGGCTCCTCCCCAGATCTTGCGCACCGAGGCTGAGGCCAGCTCTTCCTCCTTAGCCAGGGATGCCCACCACGGGCGGGGTCCGTCGCCACTGAGTCTAGAGCCCGGCGCCACCCACTTGTCGGAGAGCGCGGCGCCGGGCCAGTGCAAACCTCTCCACAGCCAGTGGCTCCTGGTCCCGTAAGCCCTATCATTGCAGGCAAAACACGCACCGGCAGGGGAGCAGGGCGTAGATCGCGAGCAGCACGTGCGGGTCCAGGGCACCTCGCTGCAGGGTGCGGGTGCCCGCAGAGCCAGCGAGAGCGCCACAGCGGGGAGAGTGGGTGCACGCGCGGCCGTGAGGCGGCCACCCGGGGGAGCAGGGGCCACGCGGCAGTGCGGGCGGCGGGACTGCAGTGCCACCTCTCCAAAGAAAGCCCACACGCTCACACGCCCGCGCGCGCACACACACGTGCACACCGTAGGCAGCGAGAACACGAGCGAGAGCCCATAAGCGCTGGACGCGTTTTAGCGATGGCTTCTGCCCTTAACAGCAAGATCCACGCACCCGGGACTTGCCTGGGCTCCAAAGCTGAGGCCCACAGTGGCGCCTGCTGGAGAATGGACTGCGACCCTGAGATGCACGTGAAAATGTGCAAGAAGATAGCCCAGCTCACCAAGGTAAGGTGAGGCGCAGTGAGCAAGCTAGCTGCGCTCCCGGGGTTCTCCGGGCCGGGGAGGGAGGGCGGGCCCGCCCAGGGGAGACCCAGGCCGAATCCAGGCTGAAACTTTGTCTCAGAGGCCAACCCAGAAGGAAAGCGGTCCTTAACCTCGGTGATTGACCTTCTGGAGGCACCATCCTAAAGCAACTGAGCAAGACGATCCTTGACAAGGAAACTCCTACAGCCTGTGTGCGGAGCAGGTGGTCTGTGCTCCCCCAGGTGGGAATGTTAATCGAAGTGAAGCAGTGCTGGGGGGTGGGGGGTGGGGTTGCTGCCTCTGTTCAAGTGATCGTGCATGGAATGTTGTGGTTTCATGAATCGCGGTACTTTACAGTCGGGGAGGTCATGTGCGCTCTATTTAAACACTCGATTCATTTATTCCTTCATTTAACAAATATTTGAGCCATTTGTTGAGTGCCAGCAGCTTGCAAGGCACCGTACTAAACCTGGAAGGCAGCCCAGAGGACTTGCTATCAAATTGGGTGTGAACGTGTGTAGGAGTGTAAATAAGCAAGTGCAGGATTCACCATTTAATTACGGGGTTACAAAGGACCTTGGGAGGTCAGCCAGCCCATCTCCTCACCTCATCCCACGGCCCAGATTGAACCTCCACAGGCTGTGGTGTCTTCCTTATGAACATTAGCAGGAAAACACTGCTCTGCCCTTTATTAACCTTCTATGGCTTCCCAGTTAGGAGCTCCTTGTATTAGGTTCCCCTCGTGTGCCTTGTGGGTAGATGGAGAACAGCATCCCTCTATGCCTTCTGTACATGGATCCCAGTGCCTGAATTTGGTTGTTTCCCCTGGGGTTCCCTTTTGATTTCATAATAAACTCCAGGTCCTGATTTTGTCCAGTAGTTTATGAGACAGGCTCTCTTCCCTATTTCCCTGCCCTGGCTGGGTGGCTCCATTGGTTGGAGCCTCATCCCATGAACCGAAAGCTTGCAGGTTCAATTCCCGGTCAGGGTTTGATTCCTGGTCTGGTCACTATGGAAGGCAACAAGTAGACGTTTCTCTTTCACTCTCTCTTCCTCTCTCTCTAGAAATGAAAACATGTTCTCAGGTGGGGATTAATACATAAATAAAGTAAGAAGGAATTCCTTAATTTATTCACAGTACTCTGCACCTGCTAAACAGATAACATATGTTAGTGTCATAAATATTCATTTACGCAGTGGTCCAACGTCCAGGCTGCACATTACATCCACATGGAGAGCTTTTAAAAACACACCAGTGAGAGGAATACGGCAATAGAGAAAATACAAATATTTGTATCAATGTTAAATGTGCAAACGTTGACAACTACATGATGGCTATGCAAGAAAATATCTTTATTCTGAAGAAATGCATGTTGAAATGTCTTCTAAGGAATTAGGTGAGATGTCTTACTCTCAAAGCATTTTATTTTATAAATAAAATAGAGAAAAGAAAATACAAAAGGAGAGCAAATGATAAAACAAATGGTATAAAATGTTAAGAATAGATGAATCTGGATAAAGAGCATGTGGATGTTCACTGTTTTTTTGTTTTGTTTTTTGCCATTCCCCTCCTACATTTGAAAATATTTCTAAATAAAAAGTTAAGGAGCATACAAGGCCCCAGTCCCCGTCTTAGGAGGAGAAGGGGAGTGGTGGCAGGCATTGCTGTTTGCCCAAAGCCTCTGAAGAGCCCTTGGCGTTAACACAGGGTTAACAGGATTAACACTGTTTTAGAACAACTGCAGGTTTAAACTGTGGAGTGGGCACAGAAGAGTTGTTTAGGACAACGGGAGGTTCCACATCCATTCCTGCCCATCAGCCACTTTGGAGCCGTCTAGGTTTTCAGGTTGACTGTCCTGGTGCTTGTGCTCATCACCCTTATTTTACTTAATAACAGCCCCAAAGCCATTCGCATAACTTCTATCACAGTATATTGTTATAATTGTTCTATTTTATTGTTAGTTATTGTTGTTAATCTCTTGCTGTGCCTAATTTATTAAGTAAACTTTATCATAGGTATGTATGTATGCGTAGGAAAAAACATAGAGTTTGGTATTGTCCGCGGTCTCAGGCATTCACTGGAGATCTTGGAACGTCACCCCCATGGTTCCGGAGGGAACCCTGTATCTGTAGATACTTCCTTTTTCTCATGGTCAGTTCTGGAGGTCAAAGCCACTGTTTCCAGCACAACTAGATCAAGGGAACTACTTCTTGTCATGTCCCAGAAACTTACCAAAGCCTATCAAGACACATAAGCTGAACCAATGATATTTGGCAAGGGTGGGTAGAATTGGGTAAGGAGGCGGTGGGGATGGGGTAGAGAGATGTTGTTATGAAGAATACGCACTGAGGATAAAATTAGAAATAGTAAGGGAAAGAATTCTACTTTCTACTCAAATTGATCTTTTAAATGGATTTAAACTTGATTTATTCTTACTCTTATTTGTACTAATACATACAGACTTAAAATTAACTGTGAGTAGAAGTAAAGACACCTGGAGAGCAAATGAACAATTTTAGGGTGAACCTTGGAATGTTCTTCCTCCTGCTAAGATGTCATCTCTTCAGAGAGGCCTTTCATGACCTTGTAGTCCAAAGGGACCAACTTTGCTTATTTGTAATTGGGAGAAAGAATTCCTCCTTCCTTGGTGATTTGCTGTGAGAGTTCGCTGATTTAAGCTACATTAAGTTAACTTACATCTATAAGTGGGGTACCTTGCCCAGGGCCGGATGCACTGTGAGCTTGACAGATGTTGGTTTGCCTTTGCTTCCTGAACTGGAAGCACTTCGGGGGGACAGAACTGCTGCCCAGTTGCCAAAACCAGCAACCTAGGGCAAAGCCAACCCTGCTCTGGCGCTGGGGGGCCAAGGCAGTGTCCAAAGGCCGGCCACAGGAGTGATGGCGGTCGCCACAGGTGTCCTCAGGAACCGGCTGCACTTGAACCCTGTGTTTACATGGCTTGAAGGTGTGGAAGTTTTACTGCACCCACTGACTCCCTTAGCTTTTCTGAAAAACCCTGCTGCTTGCAGGAGCTTGTTCCAGGAGATGTTTAAGCAGTTCTACACCAGTTTGCCTTAGGATTCTAGATTTGAAAACTGGAGATCTGTTTTAACAAGCCCTCTCTGTTGGAATCTTTTAATTTAACAATGTGATTCATGATGTAAAGACAGCTATCTTGCAAAAATCGCTTTGCCATAAGCAGCATGAAGAACACCTTCAGTTGAGTGTCTTCGAATCATACGAAGATGATGCCACTTTTGCATAACCATTCAGGTCTCTGCACTTCTCCCCGGCCTTCCTCCAATCCATCCCCACACGGCAGCCAGAATGATCTTAAAACTGACTCCTACCCTCAGACACTGCTGGTAGGAATGTGCCATGTTGCAGCCACTTTGGAAAAACAGCCTGGCAGTTCCTCAAGCTGTAAACAGAGTTGTCATGTAAACCAGCCATTCCATGCCTAGGTATTTACCCAAGAGAAATTAAAACATACACCTACACAAAAGCTGCTACACAGTATTCACAGCAACATTAGCCATAATAGCCAAAATGGGTATAAAGGAAATGTCCATCAGTTGAAGAATGGGGAGATAAAATGTGGCAGAAAGCGTAGCGTGGGACGGTGGGTAAGGGATGCGAGGTTTCTCTCGGGGTAATGAAAATATTCTAAAGTCAGTTGTAGTGATGGTTATGTAACTCTGTGAGTAGACTGAAACCCATTGAACTGCACACTTTAAATGGACAAATTGTGTGGTAGGAGAATTATATCTCAATAGATAAAATGAAAGCAAACAAAAACAAACAAGCCGAACCTTGTCTTTCTCCTGTTTAAATCCAGTTCTGAAGCAAGTTCTGGTAATTTAACAAGTCAGCCCACCTCCATTCTTCCTTTCCACATCTACCCAAACATAACAATATCACACTCACGCACACCATATGACACTTTAGGTGAAATGTTCAAATTGCTGTCCATCTCGTGCGAGACATTCACGTACCCTACCCACCACACTCAATGGCATTACTTCTGCTAGACCCTGTATTTTTTGTAACATAAAACAGGGTCAGCAAACTGTGGTTCACAGGCCAAATCCAGCCCACAGACCATTTTTGTATGGCTGTTAGTCAAGAATGGTTTTTACAATTTTAAATGATTTTAAAAATATCAGAAAGAAGAATATTTTGTTACATGTGAAAATTACATGTAATTCAAGTCTAAGTTCTGAATCCTTCTAAACCTTTAAAAATGTTCAGTTCTCTGTCACACTTAATTTGATAGCAGGTTTTTTTCTTTAGTAACTTGCCTTTGAAACCATGTTTTTTTCTTTAATAACTTGCCTTTGTTGAGTCTTTCCAAAGCATTGAGCCCAGTTTTCATAGGAGCAACAACTTATTTTTGACATTCATATATAGTTGACTTAGGATGGTGTTAAATTACATAATTAAAAGAGCAAATACCACAGGCATTAACAAGTGACAATTAATGTGAGCAGAAGCGTGGTGGTTTTCCAGTGGAAGGAGGGAAGTTGTTAAGTGATCCACATGTTGGGTGAATGGAGACTGGTTTAAAGAGTTTCTACTGTTTTTATACAAAAAGTGAATTGCTCTTTTGATATGCTACCAAGTGAGAAGTACGAAAACATTGAAAAAGCTTAGGGATCAAGGGAGGTTCCATGAGACAGGGAGGAACTGTTACTGGTAGACATTTTGATTGATTCCAGTTGTTCATTATTATAAGCAATATGGTAATGGGCATTCTTGAAACTGCATCTCTGCACACGTGCTAGATTATTTCCTTGAGATAGATTTCTGGGAGCAGAACTTACCTGTCACAGGTAGACTCTCATGAAAGAATATCAGGAAGGTTGGAAGAGAGAGACCAGGAGAGAGGAATATTTAGCAGTTGGTTGAAAGCAATCTAACAGACAAGATGTACTGAGGTCCTGGCTTGTGAACTACAAAGCCTGCCATTTGAAAAGCCGTT